TTGTTGTTGTTGTTGTTGTTGTTGTTGTTGTTGTTGTTGTTAATAAAAAATAATAATAATAATCATTCTTAGCCACAATCACACACAAAATTTCAGCTTAATATTCCTAAAGCAGCTAAATTAGAGCCGGTTAAGGCTAGCTGTGGAGGCCATCTTGAATTTTTCAAATCCAGAGTAGTTTTATTTATTTGTTTGTGCCTCAATAAAACCCACCTTGGCCACCCCAAGCAAAAATGTCTAGCTCCACCCCTGTTACAAACCGAACAAAAACTGTGTTCTGAAGGTGACAGGAGGAAGCTTTAAGCATATTAGGGCCAAAAAAAAAAAACCTGATTTTGAAAAAATCGAAATTGAAAAACTGATTTTTTTAACCTACTAAACAAAATTAGCAACTCTTATGTCTCTATTTACTGGCTTTATTCTACCTACCAGCACTTCAAGAGCTTACTTACCAATGGTTCAGGTGTATTGAAATGTAGAGTGTGAAAACCAGTTTTGGTTTCATTAAATAGTTTCTGTTCATTTTTACAAAGAGTCAGGCTCACTTTTTCCTGTTTTCATTCGATCTTTGCGCTAAGCTCAGCTAACCTTGCTGCTGGTTGTTATTTAATTWCCTGTAGCGTATTATCTGCCTCTTTTATTCTTAACTTTCCTTAAAAAAGCCACATTAGTTTTCTGTGGGGTGTGGGTGGCTATGTCATCTTTTGCATTTTTSTTGCATATTACCTTATCCTTCTATAGATGTTTTAGAGCTTCTTTTTCATTGCAAATAGAGTCGTCKTCTACTTAATCTTTTTCTCTCCTTGTGATTCTGTCTGTTTTCAGTCGTAGATTTAAGGACGAGCTCCAGGAAACCCAGACAGTCGTGTCCCGCAGACACAGCCTTCTCTCCCCCTGTGACCCACGTAACTGCCTGGCCCACCAGCCCCACCTCCCGGGTACCTAAGGACGAGGCTCCGGGCTCCGGCCCCCGGCCCCAGCCTCGGTCTAGAAGGAGTCACGCAGAGGCAGAGACCACCCTGGATGGGGKTTTTTTTTACCCCCTACTTCATTCCAACAGGGAAACCCGGTGCTTACAGGACTTTGTCCCCTCCCCAAGCTCTTTGTGGCCCGGCTCTGGCAGGCCCTCTGGTTACTTGGGTCGCAGAAGAGAAGGAGGACGTGACAGTACGCTGGCATTTTCTCCTGACAACAAACTGTTATTTATGAATAATTTATTGTCTATTTAATATTTATTTCATATACTCCGAATTATCTTTCTGTTTTTTGTTATTTTACCAGGTGGAACTGCTTGTTTTTCTGCTGTGGTAAAGATTCAAGTGGTCAGAAAGCTGAACGTAGACATTAATGATGACATCCTTGCCTAACCATATAACACAGCGTCAGTAATAAGAGGTTTTATTTGGGTAACGATTCATAATTAAAGCTTTTCTCATTCTTCCTTGGAGTGTTTGAGAAGATCAGCGTTTTAACATCAAAATGTTTTCAGCTACTTTTGACCTTTCTTGAGATGCTTTTAAGCAGGTCTTTTGTTTTGAATCAGTTGCACAATTGCTGTTTTTATACCACTTATTTATTTTTACAACAAAGCTTAAAGCTTAGAGCTCACAAGCTGAAATAAAATAGAGGTTGAGTGACTTGATCCGGTTTAAACAACCAGAGTGAACAAAAGTTAACGTAGATTTTTTTTATACAGTCGGTGTGTCTTTTGTTGAATCGCTGTTACTGTCTTGTGAACATCGTCTTCCTCTCACCCTTCTGTGTTTTTGGTTTAAGAGTCATTCGTACGTTGGACATTTCTTCATCGTTCGACAGAAATAACATCCAGGGTGACATTTTAACATCCTGCTGTCACATGTCCTCTTTTAGCCGTGTCCTCGTGCTTCCACCAAACAGAATGCAGTACTGTACAAGCACAAACATGCGCCATGCATTGGAGCAATACAGTAATGGTAGTCAGATCAGGATGAGATTTACGTTGTGTATTAGCCAGCAAACTGTTAGAAAGAGACATTTTCGTCAATTTTCTAAATAAATCAAAATGTTTTTC